TTCATTCTCTTTCCACAGAACATAATTAGCCCCGCCCACCCACCCTATCTTAATTTCAGTGTTTGATGTCTGCTCTGAATGAAATGAATGACCTTATACTAAACAGAAATAAAATTAGTCCTTAGAATGGGAAGATTGAAGGTGGGCGGGACTAATACTTGCTAAGATAAAACTGATTTTGACAAATGACATTCCCTCCAAAAAAATTGAGGGCGGGTGGGGGGGGTGCCTTCTTTTTCTCTTTCCACATTCTAGATTCTATTAGTTTTCATTCTCTTTCCACAGAAGAACATAATTAGCCCCGCCCACCCACCCTATCTCCATTTCAGTGATTGATGTCTGTTCAGAAATAAAATTAGACCTTAGAATGGGAAGTATAGGGGTGGGCGGTTCTTTGCTTAACCCAACTAGACCCAACCTGACCTGATGTAATTTGATCTGACCAAATTATTAACAACTTGTCGAGCTGATCTCAGGTTATTATTATTAATAATGACTTGACCTCATCTGACTTGAACAGTTTATCATTAATAATTAAATTAACAATGACCTAACCTGAAGTGAGCACATTAATCTGACATGATCTGAGCGGATTTATTATGAATAACCTCGTTACTAACAAAACAATGGTCTGACTAGACCTAATCTGACCTGATCAAATTATTAATAACAGTGACTTGATCTGAGCAATTTATTAATAATGGCCTCATCTAAACTGACTTGACCTGACCTCATGTAACCCGACCTGAGCAGTTTATTTTTAACAATAACTTGACATAACTGAGCCGATTATGATTAACAATGACCTGAACTCACATGACCTGACTTGACCTGAATTAATCTGCCCAGGTATTAATAAAAATGACCTGACTTGACTTGAACAGATTTATTATTAGTTAAAATGACCCGACTTGGCTTCAACAGAGATATTATTAATAATGACTTGATTAATAACGATGGCCTGACTTGACCATTTTATTAATAATAATGATCCAATATGACCTAATCAGGCCTGATCAAATTATTAGTAATAATGACCTGACCTGAGCCGATTATTATTACTAATAACCTGACCTGAACTGAGCAGACTATTAATAATAATGACCTGACGTGACATCGGCAGATTAATTGTTAATAATGACCTTACTTTGCTTAACCTGATTTTTCTAATTTATTAATCGTAATGACCTGACTTGACCTAACATGTCCTGATCAGATTATCGATAATCGGACTTGATCTGATGACCTGAGCTGATTATTAACAACAATATATTGAGCTGACGTAACCTGATCCCATTTTTTGTTAACAATGACCTGACATGATCTGTGCTAACTATTTATTAATAATGTCTTGACTTAATCTGACTTATTAATAGTAACGATCGGACATGACTTAACCACTCTGATCGGATTATCAATAACAATGACGTGACCTGACCTAATATAACCTGACCTGAGGAGTATATTATTAACAATGATTTGACCAGAGCAAGTTATTAATAATGACCTTACTCAACTTAAGTTAATCTGACTAGATCATTAATAACAAAAAACCTGACCTGACCTTATATGACCTTACCAAATTATTAATAACAATAATCTGACCTGAGCCTATTATTATTAATAACGACCTGACTTGACTTCACCTGACCCAACCTGACCTACCATGACGTGGCCAGATTATCGTTAATTAGGACTTGATCTGATCTGAGCAGATTTTTACCAATGAAAACTTCGGACAATTTTGAACAATTTTCGACATTTTCTTATAGATTTCGACTTGCCATTTTTCAAGAATCGCTACTGAAATATGTCAAATTTTTGGATTTGAAAAATTATTTACAAACCGAATATTTTTAAATCTTGAACCGGTATTGGAATTAGCATGACAAAATATAGATATCACAATTTTTTTAGGAGTTTTTTGGAAACTTTTTCAAAAACAAAATTTTTCACCTATGAAAATTTCGGCCAATTTTCAACGATTTTCGAAATTTAACCAAAGACATTTTATTATTAATTTCGACCTCTGGAAGTTAGTTTCGGCCTCATTTGTTCCATTATTACTATTTTTATTTTTTTACTATTGTTAAATATAGCACTAGGATCATATATCCCAAAATTTTCTAAGAATTTTTTTGCAACTTTTTCAAATCAAAATTATCTAAGCAGATTATTATTATTAATAATGACCTGATTAATATTAATGATCTGACTTGACTTAATTCGACCTGATCAGATTATTAATAACTAAGTATAATTTTTATTAGTAACAATGACTTGACTTGATCGGACTTGACCTGATCTGAACTGAGCAGATTATTAGTTAGTAACAATGATCTGACGATGATTTCATTTAACCTGACTTGAACTGACCTGCTGATTTGACATTATCTGACTTGACCTGACTTAACCTGACCTGAACAGCATATTATTAATAATGGCCTGACTTGACCTGACCTGATCAATTTATAAAATTTATGTAATGTTATTCACTGATAAAACTGGTCTCGTAATAAAATTAGGACGAGATTCTAGAATTACAACTTAAAAAAAAACGAAGTTGTTGGTTTGCCACTTTAAGACGATATTTATGTCAAAAAAAACAAAAATTACTCAGTTCCTTATCTAGGAGCTTCCAAACACCATTAAACTTTAAAATTAGACATTCGTGAACACAACCCTTCCCTCACCTAGTGCTCATAGCTAGAAAAAAATATAATATAGCATGACTCATAATCTTCCCATTTAATGAATCACCTCCTTAAAATAAATCACCCAGACCCATCCCATTTGTCCTTTTCTTCCCAACCCGACCCCCTTGCCCTTAAACAACCCACCTCTTCTCCCCCGTCCCAGAACTAATCCAAGATTGCATAAATATTTAAAAAAAAAAGTAAACGTGTGTGTCGTCCATGGTGGTGGCCGTCCGTATCTTGAATGGGTCGATCGATGTCGCGGCAGCGCACTAGAGGGTGGTGGGCTTCAGGTCGGGCAGTAATCCGCAACAGCACAGTGAACTCACCCCGTGTTGGCGGTAACAGGTAATTTTACACCTGCACTAGGCCTGCATTTGCACTTTGCAACAGATACAATTACCATTCGACACATTAAGCTGCCATTGCGCCCATTCGGTACACGCTATCTTAAGAGTAATGGTAGCCGCTACTACGTAATTTGTAGTGTAATACTAGAACTATAGTACGGTGTTGTTGACAAGTAGGATAGAGCTTCCATTCAGGATATTGTACGCACTTTTTTTGCTTAAGTAGATTGGTGTCGGGGGGGTAAAGCAAACGGGGGGTGACTGTGGCGTGACTTAATGTGTGTGGGGTGGGTTTTATACGCAGTTGGGTAAAAATGGGGGTCACTTGAGCGCTGATCGGATCTTAACGACTTGGTTTGGTTTGGTTGTTGTATTTGTGGTGTTTAAAAAAATAAATAAATAAGAAAATTCGTTGATTATGCAACCAACATTACAGCGGTGACATTGTCCATCGTTTAAAAAAAATAAGACGTGCGCTATTTCGAATAAACGTCAAAACTCTTGTACAAAATATAAAGAAAAAAATAATTTTGTTAAGAATGTGTGTGTTTCTGACACATTATAATTAAAACAACATAATCCAACAGGACGAGTTGAGAGAATTTTGATTATTCTGATAACCACCAACAAACTTGTATTACTAGATGGGTAATAGCAAAGTATGACTGGTTGCATAATGAACTATAAAAATAATAATGAAAGAGAATAAAAAAACTCTTCAGGTTAATTTCGCGTTTATTAAAATTATGACGTGATAAACGACGCGCCCCGACAACTGTTTTTTCGCCCAACAACATTTATTTCCTCAAGCACGCACTCTTTGACAAAATAATTTTGAGCCACCTGAAAGCTGCAGATTATTTCCTCCGTCGAGACTTTCTTAATTAAAAAGCCGCCTTGTAAATTGAACACTCTTATCGCCGGAAAATGTTGCTTTAATTCACGCGCTTAATTAAGAAGCCCAGTATCAAACAATTTGTTCGAAATTATCCGCCACCTTAAGCAACTTTTAACATTAATTGATATAGATTGAATCTATTTTCGGTGAAATATTTTAACAATGTGTATTGATTTTCTGCAGTAATAGTGGGTTACATTAACCAACAATTTAACTTATGGACAAACACAGCGTCAGTTGATAATTTGTTACGGGTCATTGCTCGAGTAATTGATAACTTAATCGATGAAACCGGGAAAATTGACTGTTCCCACATGTGCCCATTTTTGAAATTCCTCCAGTTTGTTAATTATGCACACACGATTATCATACTCATTTGCGTGAGCTCATCGTGGTCTTGAATTTAATTTATTAGTAAGTCTGAAACGTGAAATTTCCGTTGTTCATGTTCATCGCCTGACTGTAAACTTGGCAAAATTAGCATTCAAAGGTGTTACCTAACTCATAATTTCTTTAACAAAATTTCCGCTGGGAGTGCAAACAGATCAGATTTTGATAAATGTGCAGGCAAGGTTGACGAATAAATTAGCGGAAACGGGGTTTTCCTTTGACACGATTTTGAGTGAGCTACAACATAATCGTGAAAAGTTTCTAGAAATAGCACACAATGCAGATTTTGTCAAAGATTTATGCATTTTGTGTGAGAATAAACGGTTGAGGTGCATCTGTTCATGTATCACGCACTAACTACAATCGAAAATAGGTCACAGCTTTGCTGGTGTTTCGGTTTTCCGCGATTATCTTCCACTGGACAATTACTGGCTGCAAGTTAATCGAGGACGTAGACACTTTTAGACTGTAGAACTAGAAGCTTTTAAAAATTGAATCTGGAACGAAAATTTCAGGTCACGCAAACAATTACTTTGGAATAGATTCTCTTTGTTTTAAAATCACTTGGTGTAGGTATCAACCGCATTAATCTGCACCGTAATTAAATTTGCAAACCAGTTAAAAGTTTGATCAAGCGAATCTAATTGCAGTATCTACGAAATATTCTTCCAAGAATAAAAAATGTCTCATCCACCAAACACAGTATTAAATGGGCCTTCTCCCGAAAACAATGTGCCTTTTAAAGATGCTCAACCAACACAAGAGACGGTAAGCAGGGACTAGTTAGATTGGCGAAGTGATTACGTCAACCCTAATTTTAGACAATTAATTGTAAAAGCTGCCGTGTCTCGTTCTCGCTGTGCCCCATTTAAATTATTTATTATCGTAGTTGTTACAGTAATTCGGCATGTTATTGACTTGTTATGTAGATAAAAACAGAACATGGCGAGTTTCGTGGACTTTTGTCATTGGAGCTCTTCGAGCCAGGCACTGGCAACGAGAGCAGGTTGTGTGACATTCCTCCTACGAATACTTAAATCTCTCCCATAATTCACTTTTTTCTTCGAGAACATGAGTATTTTCGTCCCGGCAAATCCACCGTTTGAGTCGCTATTTCGGAACCCATTAAAAATCCATCAATGTGCCATGACAGATAAATTGAAAAGACAATCAGTACATGCAAATGCGAAAATCAATCAGACGTACGATCAAGGTGACGTCCACTGGCAAGAGTCAACTAAAATGTCCTGACGTATTAGGTCGTTTTTAAGAGTGTGAACAGTTCATTCAAAAAATGTTTTATAGTAAATGAAGATCACTGCTTTTGGTGGTCTTTGTAATAATAATAATCACGATCACAATATAACTAACAATTACAAGATCGACACTTGCTCTTCAAGGGCTGTTTGAAAAGTGGCTACAAATTTTGAAAATTTCAATTTTTGGATTAACGACTACTGGTTAATCTGGAGATTTAAAGATTTTAAAATATCCCTTCAGGGATTTTTCTTCGTTTATCATTGCGAGTACTAGCCCCGCTCACCCGCCCTATATTTTCTTAGTGAGTATATCATTTAATGTAAAATGAAATAAATAGTTTAAATCAACCAAAATTTTGGACATTTTGTCGATAATTTTTAAATTCTTTAAATTTAAACTTTTAATTTTTTCTTTTAATCAATAAATTTCGTCTTCTTTCTGCTACAATTAATTTTGGTAGTACTATTTTTTTATCAATTTAATCACCGAAAAGGAGGCGGGTGGGTGGGCGGGGTTTATTATATGTTCTTCTGTAAAGTGGGAGCGGTAGCTGATGGAAATAAAAAAAACGCTAATCGTAGGTTTTTTTTGTACTATTTGTTATACGATTTATTTCTTATTTCAGAAGAAAACAAATACATTTCAGTAGGTATAATTTTGTCTTTGATATCATATTCCTTAGTGACACCATTTTTAAGTAACCGACCCTCAGTTTACCAGTTTAACTTTTGCCTACCGTCTTTTATAAGCGGGCAGTAGCCCCGCCCACCCTCCCCCATTTCCTTCCAGTTACTACCTTTAATATTGTTCAGTTTTATCGTTGCAAGTACTAATCCCACCCACCCACCCTCTATTTTCTTGAAAAGTATATTTCTTTCCAAAATTAGTCTTATCTGAACAAGCACCTGCTGCAATAAATTTTGGTAGTAAATTTTTTTTTATCAAATTAGTCACGAAAATGGAGGCGGGTGGGTGGGTGGGGTTTATTATATGTTCTTCTGTAGAGTGGAAGCGGTAGCTGATGGAAATAAAAAAAAAAAAACGCTAATCGTAGGTTTTTTTGTACTATTTGTTATACGATTTATTTCTTATTTCAGAAGAAAAAAATACATTTCAGTTCGTATAATTCTGTTTTTGTTATCATGTTTCTTAGTGACATCATTTTTAAATATCCCACACTCAGTTTCCAGTTTAACTTTTTCCTATAATAGTCTTTTATAACCAGGCAGTAGCCCCGCCCACCCTCCCCCATTTTCTTCCAGTTACTGCTCTTAATATTGTTCAGTCTTATCGTTGCAAGTACTAACCCCGCCCACCCGCCCTCAGTTTTCTTAGAAAGTATATTACCTGCAAAAATCAGTGTTATCTTAACAAGTACTAGCCCCGCCCACCCTCCCTCTTCTCATTTTAGCGACTAATTTTATTTCTGTATAAGATCCGCCTTTCATTCAGAGTAGATAAAATTAATCACCGATATGGAGACGGGTGGGTGGGCGGGGTTTATTATATGCTCTTCTGTAGAGTGGTAACTGAAATAAAGCTGTAAAAACACTAATCGTGACTTTTTTGGTTGTTAAAAATTGGCTTATTTAAATGGGTGGTTTTGCAAAAGTGGGTGGGAGTTTTCGGGGAAATAAGTCCAAAACCAACTTCTGTAGGTCGAAATAAACTTAAAAATTTCCAGATAATTTTTGAAAGTAGGTCAAAAAAAATGTAGAAAAATTGAGCTTTTGAATAAGTTTTTTAAAAATCCACAAAAAATTCGGAGATTTAGATCTCGACTTTCTATTTCGAAAGATATGACGTAAATACCATAATTTATTGGGCGATTCTGATAAAATGGCAGAGTTTCAGAAAATAATGCTGCAAGTAACATCTGGAGGACTAAATTTACTAAAAAATCCCTTAAGGTATTTTTCTTCGTTTATTATCGCAAACACTAACCCCGCCCACCCGCCTTCTATTTTCTTAGTAAATATATATGCTTTGCCAAAATCAGTCTTATCTTAACAAGTACTAGCCCCGCCCACCCTACCTCTTCTCATTCTAGCGACTAATTTTATTTCTGTGTAAGATCCCCCTTTCATTCAGAGTGGATAAAATTATTCCCCGAAATGGATGCGGGTGGGTGGGCGCGGCTAAGTTAAATTTTTTCCTAGAGAGTCTTTTGTAGACAAACAGTAGGTCCGCCCACCCACCCGCCTCCTTTTTATTCTGGTGACTACTGTTAATTATTGACAATATTATTGTCTTATTATATTACTGTTGGTGAGAAAACAAATAACTTGTTATTTTCCTTCTATAAATTATTCAACCTACAGCCTATATTTCAAGGGTTTTTTCTTCGTTTATAGTGATAATGATATTTTATTCGCCTTGTTACATATATATAACATACGGTAATGGCATGTCAGATGAAAATACAAAAAATAGAATGTGTAATAAGGAAAATATAAAATATAAGTGTAAATAGTCTAAACTAACCAAAACAATTTGTCAATAATTTTTAAATTCTCTAAATTTAAACTGTTAATTTTTCCTTTTAATCAATAAATTTCGTCTTCTTTCTGCTGCAATAAATTTTGGTAGTACTACTTTTTTATCAAATTAATCCCAAAATAGAGGTGGGTGGGTGGGCGGGGTTTATTATATGTTCTTCTGTAGAGTGAGAATGGCAGCTGAAAAAAAAACGCTAATCGTAACTTTGTTATGTACAAGTTGTTATAAGATTTACTTCTTATTTCAAAAAAAAAAAAAAAAAATACGTAACAGTCTGTACAATTTTGTTTTTGTTATCATCTTCATTACTGACACCATTTTTAAGTAACCAACACTCAGTTTACCAGTTTAACTTTTTACAACAGTCTTTTATAAACAGGCAGTAGCCCCTCCCACCCTCCCCCATTTCTTTCCAATTACTCTCTTAATATTGTTTAGTTTTATCGTTGCAAGTACTAACCCCACCCACCCGCCCTCTATTTTCTTAGAAAGTATAGTTCTTTCCAAAATCAGTCTTATGTGAACAAGCACCTGCTGCAATACACTTTGACAGTAGTTTTTTTTTTATCAAATTAATCCCGAAAAAGGAGGCGGGTGGGTGGGCGGGTTTATTTTATGTTCTTGTGTAGAATGGGAGTGGTAGCTGATAGAAATTAAGAAAAAACGCTACTTCTAAATTTCTTTTGTACTATTTATTAGAAGATTTATTTCTTATTTCCGAAGAAAAAAATACGTAACAGTCTGTATAATTTTATCTTTGTTATCATGTTCCTTAGTGATACCATTTTTAAGTAACCAACACTCAGTTCACCAGTTTAACTTTTTCCTATATACAGTCTTTTATAAGCAGGCTGTAACCCGGACTAGCCTCCCCCATTTCCTTCCAATTACTCTCTTAATACTGGTCAGTCTTATAGTTGCAAGTACTACCCCCACCCACCCGCCCCTTATTTTCTTGGAAAGTATATTTCTTTCCAAAATCAGTTTTATCTGAACAAGTACCCGCTGCAGTAAATTTTGGTAGTACTATTTTTTTTATCAAATTAATCACGAAAATATAGGCGGGTGGGTGGGCGGGGTTTATTATATGTTCTTGTGTAGAGTGGGAGTAGTAGCCAATAGAATTAAAAGAAAAACGCTACTCATAACTTTTATTGTACTATTTGTTAGAAGATTTATTTCTTATTTAAAAAAAAAATACATAACAGTACGTATAATTTTGTCTTTGTTATCATCTTCCTTATTGACACCATTTTTAAGTAACCAACACTCAGTTTACCAGTTTAAATTTTTCCTAGTCTTTTATGAACAGGCAGTACCTCCGCCCACCCTCCCCCATTTCCTTCCAATTACTATCTTAATATTGTTCAGTTTTATCGGTGCAAGTACTAACCCCACCCGCCCGCCCTCTATTTTCTTGGAAAGTATATTTCTTTCCAAAATCAGTCTTATCTGAACAAGCACCTGCTGCAATAAATTTTGACAGTAGTATTTTTTTTATTAAATTAATCACGAAAATGGAGACGGGTGGGTGGGCGGGGTATATTATATGGTTTTCTCTAGAGTGGGAGTGGCAGCTGATAGAAATTAAGAAAAAACGCTACTAGTAACTTTCTTTTGTGCTATTTATTAGAAGATTTATTTCTTATTTCAGAAGAAAATAAAATACGTAATAGTCTGTATAATTTTGTCTTTGTTATCATGTTCCTTAGTGACACCATTTTTAAGTAACCAACACTCGGTTCACCAGTTTAAATTTTTCCTACAGTCTTTTATAATCAGGCAGTAGCCCCGCCCACCCTCCCTCATTTCCTTCCAATTACTCTCTTAAGGTGATGTTATCGGTTTAGTTTTCAGTGAATTTACAGTAGATTTTGTTTCACAAATACTAGACAACTAGTTGGAATCTGAACTAAATTTTTTTTTTACAATATCTTTGATATGCTATTAGTGTCCGGAACTTATAAAATTGGAGAAAAAATGACCTGTTTTGCTCTAATAAAATCGCA